TTGTTTTACAAGTACTGGAGCCAAGAAGAAGAATACTCTCGTAGCTCGTCTTGTAGAAAAATGTTTGCTCTACAAAATCCAGTTGTTTGAAAAATTTTAGAGAATCAATAGTCGTTGAGAAAAAGTTTTTGCAGAAATATACACAATTTCAATCGGTTTATAGCTTATGCATTGCCTAATCCTAGTATCTTAAGTATTACATCGACGATTGGTTTTTACTAAGTAAAATTTATTTTATAGCAAAAAAAGTCCAATTTATGTCTACTTCGCGTAAAAGACATACGAAATGCATGTACAGAACTAATTTTGGTACGACTGAATATTGGTATACGCAAATCATTTTTTAAATATTTCAACGTCGTACCTATATGCTAAAATACTTCATCTTTGCTACATTTTTTGCTTTTCATCAATATTTCGATCAAACTGTAAACTGTAAGTTTATGAACAATGGAACACTTTTTCTGTGCTTTTCAAGCACTAAAATAAACTTTGAAGATTTTGTTCTATGTTTTGAAAAAATAATCCAAAATAACAAACAGATAAGAATCATAAATACGATTAAAGCAGCAGGTTATTATTACTCTGCTTAACTGATAATTTAACCCATTGCCCGCTGACGACATCATTGAATAGAACAAATTGGGCTACTGATATATCAGTGGACAGCGTGCAATGTGTTAATAGTGTTTCTATTAGTTATTTATCATAAGTATGTTGTGTAAAAGGTCAGTCGTCACTTCATCGAAAAAATCAGGTTTTATCACTAATAATCGATGATCCCAAAATAATCAAGTATTCCTGTACGGAATTTTTCTCTGCATATCGTGAAATTTCAAGTTTCTTTTCGGAAGAAGTTTGATAAGCAGAAAATTCTATATTTTTAGGATAGATTCTATAGAACAGAATTTTCAAAGTTTATTTCAGTACGTTATTTGGTGTCAAAAAAGAAAAGTACTTTGCTTTCGCTAGCTCATCCGTTATTGTTCATTCTTGGCATCTGATTCGCTTTTATATTCTGTTCGCATCTATCCAAGATTTATCAATCGAAATAATGTCAAATTAAAATTCTATTATAGTAACTTTAAACGTAATGTGAATATTGTATGAATTTGCATTCGAGTGATAATATATAGAGAAGGACTTACCGAACTTCGGTGAAAAAAATTTTCTTCTAAAAGAAAAAACAGAAAAATCGCCTATTAAATCATCGTTCAATACTACGTAGGCTTGCTGCCTCTTCGAAATTTATTCATTCTTCATCAACATCAATCGTTACTTATTCTCATTACTTTTATCTTCTAATGTAATTATTTCTTTTGCTGATACTAATTGTGAATATGTTTGCTGTAATAATTTTAACAATCGATCTTGTTCTCTTTATTTTCTTCGAGGTACTAATTCTGCTCGAGTGTCAAAATCAGATCCATTACATCTGCCCATTATTAATATTCATCTTGATGAAAGTGCAAATCCAAATAATGAATTTGTACGAAGTGCACGAACTGCTCCTATAGGACGTAAACATACGGGAGATTTAATAACATCAAATTCAAATTGGCAGAAAAATTCTAATTATTCTCAACAATATCCTCCTTCATCACCATCTGATCTATCTGATAATGAACTTGATTCCAATACATATTATAAACCTAAACGGCTATCACTATCGATTCCTCAACATCAGATGACAACAACGACGCCGGCTAGTGGAAATGATTCGTCTTATTCTGATAAAGATGAAAAAATGGAACATCGTGAACGACGATCGAGTTTACTAAATGATAATGCAAGACGTTTATTAATATTAGGAACAATAAGACCATCGAGAACATTTTATAATCATCTACCAGAAGAAGATATTCAACATTTAATGGATTATTTCAAACGAATGAGAAATAGAACAAGACGAACTTCTGAAGAGATAAATAATGATTTAAAACAAAATTATATTGAATATAAACCAAAAATGTAAGTAGATTTAAAAATTATCAGAGTTTACGACACTAAATCGATAGGTTTACGAATAAAACTTGTTGTTATTTATTTAGGAATCAAAGTAATGTATTGAATGAAAAATATTTGTTCTCCTTACACTGATTTGAGTTGATTTTTCAGGAAGATTCTGATTTGTTTGCTTGGTGTAAGATCAACAATGAACTACTAAATTTAGTATCCTATCTATTCTTTGAGCTGTTAACGATCACAGACAAGCTATTTCATCAAAAGCAAAATGGGCGAGTGTTATCTTATTTCTTTGACAAAACGCTTTCAGTACCCATAAAAAAAAAAGATTTTCTTATATCTCATACAAGTTAATATTTCAATGAATTTTATATAATAGACATTGAATATCCGATAGAAAATATTCTCAAGTCATTGAGCGTTTGACTCTGTTACCCTCACACCCGCATAGCATCGTGAGTACTGTAAAATATTTACTTCAGATTATCTCAACATCGCAATGGATTTTAGAATAAAAATTACAAAACTTTTGTCCGTTCTTGGTGGTTGCATTTTCTAAACTCTTGAGATAATATTTGAAAATTATTGGAAATATTAAAAATAAAGGAGATCCTTGACACAATCTGTTGTTGTTTTTTTAAATTAACTATATCTTTTTAGATTTTTCGATTCAACTGTGGTGACCAAAACACAAGTGTCATATATTGAGAAAATAATTGAACAATATGCAGATAATATTCGACTGAAAAGGGCAGAAATAATCAAATTAGATAATCCTACACAATTTGTGATTAAAAGTTTGACTAATGATGATTTTCTCGCTAAAATACCGCGAGAATACAATGACACCGTATTGACTATAATTGCTAAAACTGATCCATTAAGAAAATCTGAAATAATCAATGCACTTATTAATGATAAATTAGTGGAAGATATCAAAGCCAATTCACTCGATATCAGGTAAAACTTGAATGTAACAGTGTTTTCGACTATTTCAAATATATTAGACTAGCTAGTTGTTCAGTTTCAAGTTAGTAAAGACCAAAAAGGGCTCAAAAATTGTCACATTTATTGTTAGTATTAATACGTAAAGTGAGTTATTTATTTAGTTATTTCCCGGGTGGTGTAAATTATGATGTGCCGCGTGACGAAATAGACGATAGTGGACAATTAAAATTAGAAACCTATAAAAAATTAAAACAACGTTTAAATGCAAGAAAAGTTTGGTTTTTTAATGATATACCACAAAAAAAACCAAATGCTTTACTTTGTTCAATGCCAAATGATCTAAATTTAAATCATAAACAATTACTCGATTTACTGTATGAAATACTACAAACAGATAGCGGTCGTACTGATGTTAGTCGAAAAATTCTTTCATTAGAATATGTGGCTAGAAGTGTTATACTCAATTCAGTAGAAGTCAATGATCAATGGATAATTGATTGTGATACAAAAGAGACAAAAAATCAATTAAAAGAAAAAGGTTTAAAAATAAGTGTGGGAAATCATCAACGTCATCCACTTATTATCGAATTAAGAAGTTATGATGAGGAAATTCAAAAAGAATATGAAAAATTTTTAAAATCAGAAAAATACAGAGAGTTAATACGTACACATGATGAATCGATTAAAAAATTAGCAAAAACATCTTGATATGTATATACATATATTGATATATTGATATATGCTTACCTTTTTACCTAAGTATACTACTGTATTCATTAAAATATGCTCAATACTAAATGATTACTAATAATATAATGTTAAAATGATATGATTTATCGGGATGTTAAAATGATGTTTATCAAAATAATTTGCAGTTGGATTAAGACTGATTAGATCGTATTTTCATTCAATGTATATCATTCTGAAACTATAATAGAAATTGCTTTGAATATTTCAGATATTAGTAAAGAAAAAAAAATAGAAATAGAAATTTATAGTGCTGTACGATTATTGCTTTGAACTACTCTCAGCGTTAATCTTGTTAGAATAAGTTTTAATAATGTAGAGTAAAATATTTGGTAAAATACTTTAGTTCCATTTTAACAATTGAAAACTCTTCATGATTGCTTAAAGTGCAAAAAGTGACATATTTTCTTCTCTACTGCTAGTATTTATCAGTCATTGATACGGAATATATTTCGAACTGTATTTAAAGACATATATATATGTGTCGGAGTTCAGATTAAAATCCAGTTGAGTTTAAAACTGAACTAGTTCAAATCGAAATTTTAATAAAAACTAGATGAAATCAAAATTTAAATGTAAATTAGTTCGTTTGAAAATCAGTTTCAAAATGAACTAGTACATTTTAGAATTTCAATTTCACCTAGGTCTAATCAAAATTTAGATCTGAACTGATAAAGCAGACTAGGTGGATTTGAAACTCAACTGTATCAATAATGCGTTTCAAAACGAACTAGTTGTGTTTCAAACTGAACTTGACGGTATTAAAATGCCGTGCCGTTCAGTAAAGTTAACTTATATCCTTCTTGTAGCAACCTCTTTTCTTTTAATACTATGAAGTTTTGCAAAGCAAGAAAACAAAAACGAGCAAATATATGTTTTTAGCAGTTTTCACATTTTGTTGGTTTTCCTCCATGACATTTTGTACAACATTTTTGATTATTTTTTTTACATGAACATCATTTTGTATTACAGGCGTCAGCGCATTTATATGTATCTGCCGATTTAAAATTGGTATAAATTTACAAGCTTGTATGTTATCAGTGGCAATAATTTAGTATTTAGGGCGCGTAGTGTAGAAATTGGCCCTTGTAAGATCAAGAAAAGTAGCTGGTTCAGCAGTTTCTATTATAATATCAGTTTGCGTTGCTACTGTGTATAATGTTTTACCATTTCCAGTATCACATCGTACTACTTTATACGACAATACTATGGAAGAACTGAAGATTTTGATACCGACTAGTTCAGTTTGAAACACAACTAGTTCGTTTTGAAACGCATTATTGATACAGTTGAGTTTCAAATCCACCTAGTCTGCTTTATCAGTTCAGATCTAAATTTTTATTAGACCTAGGTGAAATTGAAATTCTAAAATGTACTAGTTCATTTTGAAACTGATTTTCAAACGAACTAATTTACATTTAAATTTTGATTTCATCTAGTTTTTATTAAAATTTCGATTTGAACTAGTTCAGTTTTAAACTCAACTGGATTTTAATCTGAACTCCGACATATATAACTCGAAATAACTCGATATTATAAAAATATAACTCGAAATATTATAAAAAATATCACCGTAAACTTTTGATGAGTTTTTCTTTACAAGAGTTTCTTCTACTGTTGCTCTTGTAAACATGGCCAAGACAAGCTGTTTCTTCACGCATAATCACATTCTTCATTATATTTCTTGTACTTTTTGATGTTTAAATCATAGGTTTAACATTTTTATCTTATGAAAAAACTTTTTATTATACGTTGATTTTACAGCTATAAAAAATACGTTTAAAGATGTTGATTTTATATCTAATTATTTTTATGAAGTATTTGATTCAATAATAGAGTGACAAATTGCCTCCTCCAATTACTTTTCAGAAGTTTGAAAAAAATGAAATTTCATTTATCATGCTTTCAGTCATTATAGAATCGTTCCGGCACTCAACTAATATCTCTTTTAGAATATTTTTGAATGTCTTCTTATGTTAATTTGATGCTTTTTAATGTGCTTAGATTAATATTCCCGTCTTATTTTAGGATACTTAATTGCTGTATAAGTTGCGTCCATCTTATTTCTATAACAGACAGAGAAGTCAATCACCTCTTTAGTAACGTACATAATTGAGCTTATGGTAAAATTTATTCAAAATGAAAGTTTTAATGGTACGCTTTTTTAAATTTTGATAATTATTTTCAATATTCTAGTTTAAATGTTCATGCATCAGCGAAATAATCTCATTATTTTCTGATTTATCTCATTTAGATCCTGTTTGTGATTATCTCTTTTCCAATTAAATACAAGGTGTGTTTGCTCCATTTTGCGCGGCTCTTTACCGATTTTATCATGCTGCAAAGCACAGTAAATAGTAATCGCGTTTATTAATATCCAGTATCCGTTTCAAAATACAATGGAGAAAACTATTTTTATAATAACTTTTAAATAAAATGAGTAGAATAAAATAATTCTAGACATGTCGAAGCTCTTATGACACTGTAGCTAGCTATAGGCGTTCTCCGGCGACCGCCTTCTCTCCGAACAGGCATACTTGGGAACGTGAAAAATACATGCTACATAGATAATTAATTTCGCTGATTATCGTGGCATTGTGTATTTTCTTCACCTGTTTAATGCGGTCTCAAAAAACTGGGCCGTTTTCACAAAAATCTAATCTTTTATCTATGTGCATGCAAAATTAAAACACTCAAATTAATTAAGACACTCTTTCTACAGCAAGTTTCAAGTCATGCTAAGAAAAAGAATACTGGAACAGTGGTGGTGCTTCCTCTCCTGTAGTTTACGATGTTAGTCAAAGTATATTAACTAGTCAGTTTTTATATATAGTTGAAAATGACTCTAGTTAAGAAATTTTAAAAGAAATCAATACATATTGTCGATCGATTTACAACTACTGTTCACATTTGCTAGAAGTAATCTATCTTTCACGTATGAAAGCTAGAAAAACACTGTTTTTACTCTGTTGTGTCATTTATTACTTTGCTTATTTACTCCAATATTCGTATGCTCCATGAGCTCGAGCCACATCTCGAAGAATAGCATCGTGTGATGCATACAGTTTTAAATCTCGATCAAGAGTATACCATTTTACATGTACTGCATCATCGCCTAAAACAGAAAACATCAGTTCAATACAATTTACAGTCAA